ATGCTTTTATTTTATTTTGTTTTTAAATAAAGACTACTGAACCTACAAATATTAATACTGCTACTAATTCTGGTAGTAGTGGTGATGCTCAAACAGGAGACAAGGTTTTTATTCTTTTTATTAATTTAAATATAATATGTTTTTCTTATTTTAAGGAAAAAACTGAAGAAGGTAGTGAAACAAAATCACAATCTGGTAATACAACAACATCAAAAAAGAAAAAGAAAGAAATTGATTTACCAATAACACCTCAAGTACCTGGTCTAAATAAAAAAGAACTTGATCGATTAATGGAACAAGAACATGAAATGATTGCACAAGATAAAAAAGAAAAAGAACGTTCCGATGCTAAAAATGCTGTTGAAGAATATGTATATGATATGCGTGGACGACTTGAAGGTGGTCCATTAGAATCATATGCTGATGATAATATACGACAAAAATTATTAAATGATCTTCAAAAAGCTGAAGATTGGTTATATGATGAAGGAATATATCAAGAAAAAAGTGTTTATGTTGAACGTTTAAAAAATTTAAAAGTAATTTTTTTTTTTTTGTTTTTGTAAAATTTATTATATTTTTTTTTAATATTAGGATATTGGTGAACCAATACGTAATCGTTATAATGAAGCCGAAAATCGTCAAACATATATGCAAGATTTAATGAAATCATTACAACGAATTGATGAAGCTATACAAATTTATAATACAAAATCAAGTGATAAATATTCACATATTGATCAAAATGATATTGATAAAGTTAATAAAACATTAAATGAAAAACAAGCTTGGTATGATCAAACAGCTAATTATTTTAATGCACTTAAAAAACATGAAAATCCAAATATAACTTGCTCACAAATCAAACAACAACGAGATGTAAGTCATTTTTTTTTCTTGTCTTCCTTAAAAAAAAAGAAAAAACTCTTGAACTAATCTCAGACTTCATTTTATATTGATTATTGTTTGTTCTTGTTGGTTTTAAACATTTTTATGATATTGCTCGTAGTTTTGAATTATATTCCAATTAGAAAAATTTTTCGACTTGATCTCTAGAAAAATATGTTCTTTCTTTTTTATTGAAATATCTAATGACTATTACACAACGAAAAAAAAAAGCGAAAATGCCCTACTTTCAGACTAAGCCATAACTTTGCATTAGGTCTGTTTAGCTATTTCAAGTCTCTGATCGACCTGTGTTATAGCCGGAGTTAAGCCATCCTCATCCTAAAGCCGAAATACTTCATTGTATTTCCAAAGTGGAAGTACGATGAAGTATTTCGGCTTTAGTGTCACATAGACTTACACAGATTGAACTCTGGCTAATATACCGTAACACAGATCGATAAGAAATTTGAAATAGCTAAACAGATCTGATGTACAGTTATGACATAGTACGACATTTTCGCTTTTTTCCTCTTGCTACTAGGTTATTTTAAATTCTTACACATCAAACATTGTCCAGAGCAAAACTTTCAATTTAAAAGAATTGTTCGATGAATAGTTTATTGAAACTGCACATTCTTATGTCTTAACAATATTTCCTACATTTCGCATGATAGACGTTATGAATCATTTGTTTATTGCATTTCTAAAGAACGATTGATGAGAAAATAAAAGTTTTTTATAATCTAAGTTCAGACATTATTATCTGTTCATTCGTTTATTTCGTAATTTCATTCCAGCCTTGTTCGCATCTCCGAATTTGATATTAATCCAGTGTCTCATTCTGGACATCCTTTTGGCTTTATATCAATGGTCTGAACTTAGTCCCAATTCTATGCGCAGTTTCTTACTTCGTATTGGTGTTGATTAATGTTCCCAACATGATTCCGATCTTATTTTGATATATATATATTATATTTCTATTTTAGACAATTGAACGAGAATGTTGGGCTATTTTAAATAAGCCAAAACCAAAAGTTGAACCACCAAAAGAAGATACTTCAAAACAACAAGCTCCACAAACAAATAACCAACAAGAACAACAACAAGCTCAAAATCAACCACCTCCAACATCATCAGGAAATCAACAAATAATTGAACCATCAATGGAAGTTGATTAACTTTTAAATTTAATAAAAACCTAGACTATTCTATCCTTTTGTGTGTGTTTGCATATTCTGTTTCTCATTGTCATTTTTTTTTCTTCTTTGTATGTCTGTTAAGATTTTTCTCGTTATTACTCATGTTATTCATCAATCCCTATTTATGTCCAACTTATTCGGCTACATTCAATGATGATTTTTTTTTGGTCTTATTTTATTCTGGCGTACATTCTTTGTCATTATCCGGTCTACATTCAGATGCTAAACGAGCACGTTCTTTTTTCAGTTCATCCTCATATGAGAACGAAAAAAAAAATAACTAGTAGAAAAAAATTCTAACACAACGATGAGATAAAGTCAATCAACAAAATAAAAGAAACATGAGAAATTATTGTTATTATTTATTTCGTTTAATAATTTCTACTTATAAAGCTTTGATTTTGTTATTTTTTTGTTTTTTTTGAAATTCGAACATGTTATACTTTAGTTTCAAGTTTATGGATTAATTAGGAGAAAGTTGACAAAAAAAAAAGAAAACTTGTTGATTTGTTTTTCTGAATAAATATAACGAAAAAAGAACACAAGAAGAATAATAAGTAAACGAACAGATCAAACAATATAATCCTCCTTTGCTTTTTCTTTTCTCTGATGACACATAAGAATATCAATCGAATTTGTTCAACAGTAAATTTGATATATGTCGAGAGATAAGTCAATACAAGATAATCTATTATTCATGATTAGTTATGGATAATATAGATTACACTATGAGTATTCAGATGGACATGAAATGAAGAAATTGAAAGTATACTTTTTGATGATTTAAACAGAGTTACATATATAGTGGTGGACAAAATTTTAGAGTACAGTTTATTTTATGAATTATTTTGCTTAAAATGAGTTTTTTTGAAGACCTCCAATTAGTGATTTGAATAGTCAATAAAGAGCTCTATTTAACATATTATATACCAGGATTTCATCGATAGATTATGATGGCAAGGTTTCTAAAAAAAAACTGAAAAATCGCTGAATATTGGTTAAAAGATGCAGTTTTTCATGTTTTGTGATACTTCTAAGTTCTGAAGGGAAGGTCGTAAAAAACGCAGCAATCCTCTCATTTTGTTCAGAATTTTACACTCTTTAAGATGACATTATCAAAAAACAATTTCCACAACAAATTATTTTGAGCAAAATAATTCATAAAATAAAATGTGCTCTAAAATTTTGTCCGTCACTATACTCTGATTTAGAGTAAAATAAGTGAGGATCATAGACTACTTTTCTTTGAAACACTATGTTAGATAAAATTAATCATAGATTCTAAAAAACAACAAGAAATTAATAGTATAATAGAATGAGTTTTATGGTAACTAACGAGGGAGGAACCCGAAGTGATTAATTGATTTTGAGTCGAGACTATGTGCATCATGTAGTGCCTATTGAGCTAGGAATATTCTGAAAAGAGTTCAGGCCCATAGCTTATTACTAAGAAGATACTTCATTTTTACAGTATTTTTTAACAGAATGCCATGGTCTCTGTCAGGAAAATTGATTTGCAAATTTCAACTTGAAGCTTTGTACAGATATAGGCCTTCATGAGAATAGTTTATGGTGAAAGTTTCATATCTTTTGGTTGTTTCGATCCTGAAATACGACTATGGTAAAAGCTTGTCTTTTATATCGCTCGTACACATACAGGCAGATTCGATGTTCTTATTTCAGGATAGAAACAATCAAAAGATCTGAAGCTTTCATCATAAACCATTTTCATTAAGGCTTATATCGTTGCAAAGTTTCAAGTCAAAATTTGAAAATCAGTTTTTCTGATATTCCAGAGAGAGACTATGGCATTCTGTTAAAAAATACCGTAAAAATGCAGTATCTTCTTAGTAATAATCTATGGGCCCGAACTCTTTTCAGAAGATTCATAGCTCAATAAACACTACACGATGCACATAATCCCGACTCAAAAAGCGATTCAAATTAGTATTTACACTAATATAAAAAATTTTGCTAAATTAAAACTCATTTTTACTAGATACTTCAGTACACTTGCAGTGATTCCTTCATTGAGCCTTGTCTCACTTATAACTTTTATTTTCCTAGTTACATCGTTAATCAGTAATTGTTGAAAATTTCTATTTAGTAACATGTCCAATAGATTGAATGCTTTTCATATCATTCTCAGCAGGAACTACTTAGATATACATCATCATACGTTGACATGTTTATCTTTTAATTCCATATCTCGCATATTCTTTGATTTCATCATCAATAATATATAAATATAACGTATCTATCTTCTTTTTTTTTTTCTTTCTTTTTGCTTAAACATATAGTATCATTCATATAATTATCACTTTTGTTAATCTGAAAAAGATGTTATTCGTGAGAAAATTTTTTTTTCATTAACATTTGTCTGTTAAACATTCCATCTCATTCACTACTTCACCCATCATTACATATAATAAACATTCAAATCCATTTACATAATTGATCTAAATCATCATCAATCTAAAAAATAAAAACTGAAAAACAACAACGATTGGCTATTTTCTTTTTTTTTGCGTTGACCGAAGAAAAGATATGAAGTTCAATCATTTTTTTTTTCGTTCTATTGAAATAAAAAGATAATCATTTTCAATTGAATAACTATAATGGTGAGTGTCTATTAAGACTTATTTAATTTTGTTTTTTATGCATATACAAAAATCAATTGTATAAGTAGGTGAGAAATAACAAAAACAAAAGCTTGTTATTTTCTCTTCTTTTATCAAGTGTTAGCATTTTTTCACATGATTTTTTTTTTATCCAATTCTTTAGAAATACAATGACTTATACACCATAAAGTGATATTAATCGACAAGAAAATTTATTTGATTCACCGAATTTTATTAATATTCAGAAGAATATTCTCGATTAGCAATAACAAAAGCAAAAAAATTAATTAATATGAATAAACAAAAACGATTAACAACATTAGGAATAATTCAATTAAGTCTTATCACATCAGATAATCATTTAACATTAAAAGGTAAATTAAAATATCTTTTTCTTTTTCTCTCAAGAAACAAAAAAAAAATATCCCTTTAGTTTTAAAAGTTAAAAATATTTATTCATATTTATCAAATATTTTTATTAAATTAACACTTATACCTGATCAAAAACCATTACAATGTCATACACGTACTATACCAAATATAAATCATTCAGGAATATTTAATGAAAAATTTACATTTGAAATTAATAATGATGATATACATAAACGTTTATGTTTTTTTGTTTATAATTCTGAACAAGAAGAAAAAAATCAAAAAATAATATTTCATGGTTGTTTATCATTTGGAATAAGAAATACATTAAAAAAACAAAAAGTATAAATTAATTTATATTTATATTATTATAATTTGATTATTATTATTTATTAAGATTCATGGTTGGTTTTATTTATTACCTGAAGATATTGGTAAATTATGTCATAAACAAATATCTAATCATAATAATGAAAAACAAATAACAAAAATAAATCGTAATATTGTAAATTTAGAAGAACATCAAGTATGTGTAAAATTTAATTATTATTATTATTATTGTTGTTTTTTTCTTTAGTTTATAATTTCACGTAGTAAAAATAATTCATTTGGTTTTACTATTATTGGTGATAGTCCAACATTTATTGAAAAAATTATTGAAAATAGTTCAGCTGCTCAATGTGGACTTAAATCAGGTGATTATATTGTTAAAATTAATGGTCAAAATGTTTCACGTGCTCAACAAAGAACTATATCAAATTTAATTAGACATGTAAAACATTCAATTATATTAGATATTCATCGTTATCCAAATGTATCATTAAATCATGAATTTTTTTCATTGTTATCATCAACTGAAGATTCATCAACATATAGTGATTCATCTATACCATATTATAAAAGAACTTGTTTTCTATCATCAAATCGACAATTTGTTGATTTAGCACAATTAGGACATTATATTGAACCAAAATCATTTATTCAACAGACAACAATAAATACAGAAAAACCATTTTTTCCAATGAGTAATTCATCAATGCTTGCTGTAAAAGGTTCACCAACGAATACATTTGTTTAATTATAGTGATAAGTTTTTTTTTTGTTTTTTGTTTGAATATATTATATAGAAAATCTATTGTATGCGTTCGATTTTTTTATTATTATATTGCAAAAATAAATTTTCAAGGCATAGAATCAATTCAATATAAGACTACGCCTATTGATAGAAAGTTCAATTTTTGAATAAATTTTGGTAGGAATGAGATAGAGATCTGCAGTTTTCACCGTTGGATAGAGCAGATGAAGACACATCGAATTATATATAAAAATATTTCTATAGCTACTTTACAATAGGTTTTACATAAAGCTTCAAGAAAAACAGCATGCTTCTCATAGTTCCGATATTAATTTATTGGTTTTCAGGAGTGCGCTAGAGTCATCAAAGGAAAGCCTAGAAAACTATATCAAGAGGCTGTTCCTAACTACTACCAGTATGATATCCAAACCATCGGAACACAATTTACCACCTGATTTTTGTCAACAAAATAATCGAAAAATGTAAATTTTTGTAGTATTTTGATAGAAAAGCTACTTTTTTTCACATAGAAAAAAAAGCAATTCTTTGAAAACATTTGACTAAACCTTTATGAAAGTAGTTAGAAAAATCTTTCTATACATAATTCGATGTATCTTCATCTATTCTTTCCAACGGTGAAAACCATAGATCTCTATCTCAGTCCTACCAAAAATTATTCAAAATTTGCCCACGGCCATTTAACTCTGAAATGGACAATAGATATTGTCATAGTTGCATGAAGTAGCAATTGATAAAAATTTTCACAACAAAATAAAATGAAAACATAAATTAAAACTACAGTCATTACAAGTGTTTCTGACAGCCGATTAAAACCAGTTCAGATATGTAACTTTAAAATGTCAGTGTACAAAATCTTTAGTTTATACTGAATTTACACTTCTAATAGGTGGATTCTAAGGAAGTTTCAACATGTGATTTTCGGCAAAATATAACTCTGCTTTCAAGACTACAAAATACTAAAAAGTAAGAAATATTTTCTAAATGTATCTTTTTGTTGAAAAGAAATAAATACAGAGTACAAACTATCTTGATATATAAGTAATACAATATGAAAAATATTAATGTATGATTAATTTTGAGCATCATTGTATATTCTATAGTTTTAATTTGATACGATCATAATCAAACATTATCTAATTTTAATATTTAGTTTTTGTTTATATTTTATATAAAAATTGAATAATAAACTAATTAAGTTGAATCAATATGTTTTTATTTGTCTTCAAGAGATTCAAATTAATATGAAAAAAACAAAACTCTCGCATTTATTAGAGTTAATCGAATTTTGACGTCAAGGATGTTCTGTTGATAAAATCGTATTGAATGACAAAATATAATTGTATTATTTGATAAGATGCTCATTGAGTGACATCAAATAAAGAAATAGATAAAATAAAAATTAAATCAACAAATACTTCAAGATAAATATTAGATTGATATTAATATTAATCAAACTGATAATGTAAAATATTCTAGACGAATATCAATTCATTTTTTTTTATTGTTTAGAAAGATTACGAACATTTATATAGAATCTATATTGAAAGTTCTTTCTAAAAAAAACAAAAAGTTAAAAACTATTGTAATGTTTACAGTAAAAGCAAATTAATCTCTTAATCTTTTCTATTTTTTTTTGATTTATCTTTCTATATTCTCTATTGTAATTTTATTTTTCATGTTTAGTTTTTTCATAAATGTTATAACATTGCTCTAGTTATGAAAGATACACAACTTATCGTATTGTAATGACATCGTTTCATAAAAACATATGACATAGTAATTGCGCAAAAATGTATGGTATAATCGATATAAATACGTCACATATTTTATGGCCTTGACCTTCTAAAAGTACAAATAGGTACATTAATATTAAACAATGCCATTATATTTTCTATATGATTTATCCATAATTAAATAATGAATTTTATAGAAGTCAAAAAAATTAATAATATTTAATAGAATAAATATGATTAATTTACAAAAAAACTTTGTAACAATTTAATTCGAATGATAACAATAAGAAAATAAAATAATTTTCTAAATATATTTATTAGAAACAGATATTAATATCGATTTGTTGATTGTTCCAAAACAAAAAAAAAACTGCTTTACTCAATGAAAAAATGAAGCAATAATTTTTTTTGTTTTTTGAAGAGCTCTAGTATCATTTGTTAAATTCATGTAGATCACTTCAAATGTTACATACTACAAAAAAAATAAAATATTTTTTTTTTTGTGGTATCTAATGTCATGCATGAACAGAGTGTTTTTTTCGTTTATTTCACAGTAAAATAAGTAGAATAAATAGATGATGACAACAGAACTGTTCGATCATATATACACGAATAAAAAATATACACTATACAAAACACACTCGAATAATAATAATAATAATAATAATAATAATACAAATGAATACATTTTTAGTTTAAATACAAGGGCATATCACACAGATGAAATAGATGCGTGCAGGGAGTAAATAATGTCTACAAAAAGAACAAAATAGCAAAACAAAAAAAACATCGAGAACAAAAATTATGCTTGCTAGCACCAAATATACATATTCACAAAAGTACTGTTTTGAAGTAGTAGCAAGTTGTTCTCATATAAGTTTTTTTTTTGTTTTTGTTTCTATTGTAAACATTAAACATAGGTATATACAAGAGAAAAACAAATAGATATTGAGCAAACAAAAATATAATAAAGAGATTTTATGAAAAACCTCCTCCAATATCCATTTCATTATCAAAACCAAATGATGTCGAAGATAAAAATGGATCATGTGTAAATGGTGATAATGGATCATTTGAAGTATTTCCAACAACACTATTTGTATCATTACTATCTTCATCAACAATACCAAATGATGAAAGTGAATCAAGTGGTGGAAGTGTATCAAATGTTGCAAATATAGGTGTTGATGGTGGTACTAATGGATTATTATTTAATGATGATGATAATGATGATGGTTCTAATTTAATTACATTTGTATTAACAACTGCTATAGCTGGTGAACTTTTTATTGTTGTTGATGAATTTATTGGTATACCAGCTGCTAAACATTTTTTTTCTAATTCCTATATAAAAGTTTAAGAAAAATATTTTGAAAAAAAAAAAAGATATTTAATTTTTAAAAACTAACTTTAATTCGTTCTTGTAATACAATATTTTGTTCTGTAAGCATTTGATATTTTGCTTCAATTAAACCAGCATTCTCATATTGTCGACGTAAAATTTTAATATAATCAACTGATGCACGTAATATAGTACCTTTATTTTGTTTTGAATCTCTGAGAAAATTATTAAAAAAAAAAAAAAAGAACAATTTTTTTTTTGTTTTTAATAAAAAATTAAAATGTTTATGTTGTCTTAATTATTGATCAATGATGTGTTTATAGATGAGAATATTTTTATTTTAGTTGATGATCTTTTATTCAAAGGTTAAATATTGCTGCGTTTTTTTTTTGTGTTTCTGAAAAAAACATTCGAACTTATTAATTGAACGTATAACATTTCACTTACAATCTTTGATCTCTCTTATTTAATATTCATATTGATTGAATCTTTGTTTCTTTTCATAGATATGTAAAACAACTGAATAAACATCATCAATATATAAATAGTAATAAGACTATCCTTTTTTTTTTTAGTTTGTTGTTATAATTAGCACTCCATTTGAAAAGAATGTCATATAAGAAAATAGTCGATATGTTTAATGCTAAGAAAACTCTAACTATGCTCTTCTTCATAGATTACAAAAATTTATCTTGAGTGGCACTTACAACTCAGTCCCTTTTGGTAATAAAGTACCAAGTTCTTTAATACGATCATTAATATTAAATCGACGACGACGTTCAACTAAAAAATAAAAAACATATAAATTATTTGTTATTTTATTTTTTCATACTCATATTATGATTATCTTTTTTTTGTCGATCACGTATAACAAGACGCATTTCATCTTCTGTTAATGGTAAACCAATTTTTGCTTTAGCACTCAATATATTTGTTGGACATGATGATGAATGACGAGAACTACTATCACCTCCATCTTTTGATAATGATGATGATAAAAATACTGAACCAATATGATCATCAGTAACTGTTGTTGATAACTAAAAAAAACAAAATTTTATTATGAGCAAAGAATTTTTTTTAATAAAAAAATCCTTACTCGAGGTGTAATACTAATACTACGTGTGTTACTTTCAATACTACCACATGTTGTATCATCATTAAGTTGATCATCCATCTACAAAAAAAATAATAAAATAGAGTTCATTTTAACAAAAAAAAAAAAACAAAATGAAATTACTTCAGATGTAATTTCACTATCTGGTGATGATTCTTCTAGATGTTGTATAACAGAATGTTCATCACCAATTAAACTTTGTTTTCGACACATTTGTTCAAGATGATATTTTGTTGGATTTTCAAGACGACTTTGAACAGTCTAAAATAAAAATAAAAACTATTTTATTAGTTTCAAATTACCGAAAAAAAACAAAACATTAACCTGACTAAATTGTGTTGGTGCAATTGCTTGTTTAAGTAAATATGTAACAGAATCTAATTGTTTTGTATTTGCTGGTGATGACATTCGTATTGCATTTGATGAATTACTTATTCGTATTGGATTACTATCTCGATTTAAAATAGATGATGTTTGTGATGATAAATTTGTACCAATTGAATTTGGTGATGCTCGTTGTCTATTTGAACTTTCATCAGTCTAGGAAAAACAAAACAAAAAAAAAACGATTATGTTTTATTTTTAAAAAGGAAAATTTTACTAATTGTCTACGTAGTTGACTTATTCCACTACGTTTATTTGGAGTTCTAATGAAGATAGAAAATAAAACAAAAAAAAAGATATTAAAATAATTGTAAATTGCTTTTTTTTACGTTTGTTTAACAATTCGATATGTTGATGTTGGTGATGATAATAGATCTTTAATTATTGATTCATTTAAATATGTATTTTGTTGTCTTTCATCAACAAGTTCAAAATCCAAATCAGGTAAATTTGGATCAGATGAGGTGAACATTATAGATATATATAAATTTCTTTTTTTTTTGTTATGTATATATATATATTAAAAGTAAATATCTATGAAAGAATAAAAAAAAGAAAAAGATAATATTTATTTTAAAGTCATGTTATGAAGATAATAATTTCAGGGTACATTAATAAAACAGCTGTTTTTTGACTTTTTTTATGAATTTGATAGGGAAATAAATAAAAGGATTAGTATCTCTATCTAGAATATGAATCATAATGAAGGTACGAATACATAGCTAATGTAGAATATATTCACCAATAGAAATGAAGGTTGCATATGTCATAGAAATTCAGTTTTTGTTTTTTTCTTGATGAAAAAACAAAACCGAATAATTCTTTAGAATATAGAAAAATGTTCAATGAAAGATCAAATATAAAAATTTTTAATTGAATTTGTATTATGAAATTAAAATTGACTAGAATATTTGATTGTTTTACATAAGAAGTGAATAGGAAGTTTCTAGAGAATATATTTGACTATTTTTCGCATATTTAAAAGTATCTTCTAGAAGTAATTGAGTACAAAATTTTGTAATTCGAACTGTACACGTTGATATTCTCAATGAAGCTTTCTAATTAGGATTGGATATTTACACAGATAATACGAGATACGATTTTCCGGTTTTGTTTTTTGTATTCGATGACTAGCGCACCCTACGCATTCTCAAGCTACTAGGACTTATAGGATCCGTCTTGTATAGTCTAAAGTAACATCTATCGATGGATGAGAAAAAAATCGTAGGTAATAAATCGTTTGTAAGTTCGCAATCATATTCAATTCATAGAGTCGATTCGAATAGATAAGTATTCTAGTTTTCAAGTAAAATCATACTCTTGAATTTTGACTTAAAGTTTTCTCTACATAAAGGTATTGATTAGATTAATTTGTAGAAAAAGTTTCAGAATTTTTCTTGGTCAAGTATTTCCAAGATATGAATATTTATCTATATTTTTTTTACAATAATTAGAATAAAAAAAAATATTCTCGAATTTTTGTTCTATAAGCTAATCTAATCGATGTCTTTATGTAAATACAGTGTTTAGATGAAAATTCAATATCTTAATAATAAAGATTCATTAATTCAAATCATTCTAGAATATTTATTTTCTTACTAGATCCTATCAATTGAACATAGTTCAAATTGAAAAATGTTTTATTATTTGAGAATTTTCTTTCGTGAAAACATTTTCGAATCGAAAACTTGTACATTGTTTTCGCATTTTTCTCACAAGTCCTATATCCTGTTCGGAATGGGTAGCTTTCATTTCTTTTTTTGTTTGAAAGATAATTATTTCATTAATTTTTAGTAGCTCTATTTATCTACTCGTCAAGATTAACCTATAGTTCAATAATAAAAAAATCTTGAAATATATATTTTCAAACAATATAAAATTATGATTCTAATATCCTACCACTATATTTAATATTGAACATTTTTAATATGAAACATGTAAAAAAAAAAATATCAAGTTGAAATACTTCTCTTTTTTTTTCTATACTAACATGTTTTATGTCAAAGTTATTTCTATGACTCAAAACATTGTAATAGAATTTTATTTGAACTAATATTTGTAAGATTAACATATAGACAGACGTGCATATATTTATATGAGTCATTTATTTTGAATATGTTTAATATATTTGATATGTTTTTGTTATACGATAAATCTTATCTTGATTATAGTCGTTGATTAAGTATGTTTATCAGAATTAGAATCATGCTGTGTATTAAAACATTGATGCCGAAAAAAAGAAGAAAAGTATTAATGGATTATAGAATGTTCTCTCTTATATTTGCTATTGTCTGTGTTTATATTTCAATATACAGAAAAGAGAAAAAAAAAACGGATAAACACTAAAACTAAAGTCATTTATGAACAATGTGTTACAGATGAAGAACAATGATATTTTTGTTTTAGAATGTCTGGCAATACTTTCTTTTTTTTTAAATCGTCTTTTACAAAATTAACCCTTTGAAGATTGACTTTTGTTTTCCAAGAAACTGTTAGATTTTTGTGATTTTTTTTGTTTTACTTTAAACACTGTTTTCATCCTTACACAATGTTGTGTACGTGTATGTGAATTATACAAATAAGTGTTTTGATTGTGTTAAAAATAGAAAAAGTACTGAATTTGTGTTTATGTTGAAACGACAAATACATGTTGATGAAGTACAATAAGAAATCATTCAAAAAATATATACGAACGGAAGTTAATGCAATAAATTATGACATTTCTCGAAGCAATCAGTAACACAATGACCTACTTTTCTATTTGTTATTCGACTTAGAAGAGATGAAAAGTTTCAAGCAATAAATTTAGCTGGTTGATAAATCAAAACAGAACAAATTCTATAAGATTTTTAGATTTCACAGATTAGTTGTAAACGATAATATTTAAATACACGTTTCTTTCTGATATTAGCTTTACAAAGCAAATATGTGATGAACAATGACGAACTGATTTGAGCTAAATATATGTATATTCTATTGTTTGTATGCTTAACATACATATTGGAATAGAACCTATGTTAAAAATTCGAATTTTAAAATATCTAAAAGTTTCTTCCGTTAGTCCGATTTCAAAGCCATATATGGTCTCAGTCCGTAAATAATTAATAACCACAAATCTCATATTTTCATCTCTATAATGATTTCTAATAGATTTTTCGTAAATACTATTTCATAGTACAAATTGTCTTCTAAAAATATCTCTATGAAAGAATTCATTCATATGAGCTTAATGGAACTTTTTCTTTTTGGTTAGTACTATTGAAATATATTATGTTTCATCACGATAATGGAATTTTTTACAATTTTCTCAGGTTCTAAAAACAAGATTTATATACTTGTCAATATCCTGATCAACAATCTTATTGATTGATATTTCAAAAAACGCAATTATACTGTTAAATTTCATTACTTTATATATTCTACTACTTTTGTATATCAGTAGTTTGCCAATAAATTAGTTCATAACAGAATAATACTATTACACATATAAATATAGTATTTGTCAAGACAAAAAAGAAAATACACGATGACTAAGTTAAATTTCTAATTATAAAATCAAAGTTCTGGAAAAAAAACAGTTGACATATATTTATGACTGTTCGTTTAGAGTTTTGTCGTCACTCTTGCCTTGAAAATAAATTAATAATGACAACCATTTAATGTTTTCTTTCGTTTTTATGTAAATACATCACCGGTAATATTTTACGATGCATTTCAATAAAATATTAATACCTTTTTTTTTTCATATATGTTGATCATTTTCTAATTATATTGATCAGAAAAATTCAATGAAATATGTTAATACTTGTTTTTTTTCTTATTATCTATTTATTTTATTGTTATTGTATTTATTGATAGTTGTTTTGTTAAAAAATATTAACATTATTTTTTCAGTCAAAATTAAATCTTCAGTTATTGCATTTATGGTAGGATACAAAAGTAATTTATGTTGAGTGAGAAATATAAAAAATAAGAAACTAAACATTTCCTATTCAATGTTATTTAAAGTTAAATGATGAGGCTAAAACTATATCCATGAATTCTGTGAAGAATGAGATATTGCGATAAACCAAATCTTATCTATGCGTTTTTACTAAAGAACTATCAAATTCAAGTTGACGAATAGTTTCTGTAGCCATTTTTTTTTACAACAAATTTTTATCATTGTCCTACCATACACGGATAAATGTAAGAGAGCACTATAGACCTTTCAAGTTTATATATTTGACAAAGATGATGATGATGATGATTCATTCAGAAAAGTAACCTCTTTAATATGTATCAAGCATTGCAATAATTATTATTAATTTCAACTTATAATATGTTCCATTGCGTTTTGAATAATTGTTGATGAGAACATCGTATAAACCTGCGAGTTTCGTCGGTCAAGAAAGAAGATTTAGGATCGTCGAATCGTAGCGAAATTCGATTTTTCTAGAAATTGATTAGTCAGATGAGTTCTTAATGAAGATGTTCAAAAACAATATTCTGGATCTATTCCTCTTTCAATCTATGCCAAACCAGCATTCCTAGCTTGTTTTCTAAGAAACTTACAAGACTTTTTCTGAAAAATTACATCCTGAAGATGCGAGAAGACAGCAAGTTATGTTACCCAGTCAAAGTGGATCTTGTCTAGTTCTTCTATTTCAAATGATAGCAGTCTGTGAGTTTCATCATAATTACTACTTGTTGACATAATCATTTTTTGTAGAGAATATTTTTTTTTCCATTATGTTTTGTTTTGTTTCAGAATATACAAGTGATCTAGAATTGTCTGACTATGTTAGAAATGCATCAAATCTAGAATAGATTTGGATTTTGAAGTATGGTTTTGCTATTGGAATAAATCTACATAAGTAGTTTACAATTTTCATGATTCTTAATTAAAACAAAAACTATTTATACTTTTTTTAAAGACTATATCCAAATTCAAATCTTAAACTCTGTCTTCTGATTATGCCACATCCACAGTAAAATAGATCTTTATTAACGTCACATTATCTTATCCCATCCTTAGATATTTGAGATCAAATCTCAATGCTGTGGATTTATTGCCCTTCTCAGATGTCGTCTATTTAACGCTAAAACTTTCAATTCTGTGGCTTGTCGCTGAACCGAATAACAAAGCCATCTTTAACAATTACCTTTCAATATATTGTGTAATTACTACTATGTCTGAAATATTTGTTTTTAACAAATGTGATTTTTCTGCGACAAGCGACCTCAATGGTGTGATAATAAAATACATTATTATATCTATTGTCAATATCATATAGAAGTGATTGTTTTTCAACAGACAGATTGCTCTCAAGATAAGTTTTCTTTGTGATTGTAAATATACTACTATCTTTTTATGTTTTGCGCGAAAAAGATTTGTTATATTACAATAGAATTGTTGTATTGATAGTCTAGATACTTGACATATGCATACTGTTTTTTTTTGCATGGCATTATGTAAACAGAAAAAATGAA